TTCAGCAGTGGGATGGTAACCCTCAAAAAGAGATTATTTAAATATTTGGTTTTTTATTTCCCTGACCAGTATTCTTTTCAGCTGAGGATTAGAATTTGGATGTCCTAAATCAAATTCTTTTGATTTTTTTCCCCCACTACGAACTCCCTCCTGGTAACCATGTAAGTTATCTCCAAAGGGGACACATTAGTAACCAATAATCAACTTTACATATGACTGTCACCCAATCTACTGGGCCCACTTCTGCTAAGATTCACCTTTTAGAGGTAAATAGATTATCTTTTACCAGGGGTTTCTTCTTCTGAAACACTTTGACTTATTTGACTTCCTTACTTAATTTCCATTTTTCTCCATAGACTCAAAAGCAACAGAAAAACCTTTATGACTGGCAGCAGAGACAGAGTCCATGATGTATAAAGAACATTCTTGGAACTCCAAGTAAAACTAGAGGTGACACATGTTGGTTAAATGCTCAAACTATGCAGTCAAAGATAAATCATTCTAGTGAAGGTTCTGCCACTTACCAGCTGTGCGACTGTGAGCAAACTATTTTTCTCATTTGCAAAAAATAGATAATACCCTACTCAAAGAACTGAGGATTAAGTGCAGTAAAACAACAACTTTAGTACAGAGCCTGGCATATATTTAAGCATCTGTCAAAAGGTAGGTGCTAGCGCTTTTATTTCTGTTGTACTGTGCAAAATTAGTGAATGGGACAAAATCATTTAGTCTGAGGGATCTTTAAAAAACTAGACAGCAATCCTTGTTTTGTAGCTCCTTTATTACAGTGGTAAAAGAATTTATTGTATATTAGTACTACGTTTTGGTTTAAAAGCCATCTATTTATTAAGATTGATATTTCAGCAGAAAAACATAAATGAATCTTTCATCTAATCAGTATCGTTGATACCTATCATTATTGTTCCTGAGTGGTTCTATATAGTAGCTGTCAGCCTTTCTAAGAGAGTATCAAACCATCCGTCATTTTTCCCTAATAAAATCAAACAAGAAAGCCATGTTGCTGTGATTTCCTCCATGCTTTTAAAAAAGCTTACTTCTAACATGTGATTTAAAAATGCTTGTGAAAAACACATTCAGAAAACTATTCATCAATTGATCATTCATCACTAGTTTCTTATGCCCACACAACATTGGCTTGCTTAACTGTGCCTTTTAAACATTTCTAAGAGACTTTGGTCTTACAGATTTGATAAGTACATAATAGAGAAATATGTGAAAGATTCATGGGGCAGTATTCTTTTCCCACAGCAGGTAAAAGTTTTGGTGAGCTCAACTGTATTGTTACCTGTTTTTGTTGTTTCTTATTTCATTGTGATCCATAATGTTAAATGCCAGTATACCTAGCAGCATTTCACAATGTTTTAATTCAGAACATTTTCGCCAGTAAAAACAAAAAGATTTAAAAATCAAACTGGCTTCTGAAGGCTTCTTTCTGAGAAACTGAACACTCAGTAAAAGTAATGCCATCAGGAGAAGGAAGACTCCAGAGAAGCCTTATTAAGAGCTGAGGAGTGGTCTATTGCTAATATTTGAAAAATGCTTGTAGTACATTTAATTAGCCTAATTACACGGTGCACTTAGGCTTATTAACGCCCTCTGACAGAGATATGTTATGCTGGCCTTGAAAGCTCAATGGCCACAGAGCCTTGAAATCAACTTGCATAACTTCTAGGAGTTCCCACTGATCCCACACGTTGTACAAGGCATCAGTAATACATATAAAGTACATTTTGGTTAAAAATGTGGTATCTTTTTTTTTTTTTTCTGTTGGGAGATGGAATCTCACTCTGTTACCCAGCCTGGAGTGCAGTGCGTGATCCCCGCTCACTGCAACCTCCGCCTCCCAGGTTCAAGCAATTCTCCTGCCTCAGCCTCCTGAGTAGCTGGGTTTACAGGCGCACGCCACCATGCCCAGCTAATTTTGTATTTTAGTAGAGATGGGGTTTCACCATGTTAGCCAGGCTGGTCTTGAACTCCCGCTCTCAGGTGATCCGCCCACCTCGGCTTCCCAAAGTGCTGGGATTACAGGCATGAGCCACTGCACCTGGTCCAATATCCTTCTTAAACATTTAAAATTTCCTGCTTAGTGCATTTGACTAACACAATGCATTTCTACAATCATTTGGAGAAAGAATAAAACTGACATAACTGAAAGTTCTAATTCCAAACCATTCAAATGATAATTAAGGCTGTCACGAATTAATCTCCAGACTCACTACTATTCACTCATGATTCTTTAACACTAATGCTTCCAGTCTCCCTATACATGCTCTTTAAGGACTACTCCAAATCAACTTGGTGCTCACTAGCAGGAAGCATATGATATGGCATTTTCACCAAGAAAAAAAACCCAAAAAACTAATTTTATTATGCTGAGAAGCAATTCTCATCTACATTCAACACGCCAGTAACTTTTCATACTGACATTTGAGATTTAATGAAATAACTCCGGGGAAAGAGAAATAGCTGGAACACAGGATTGTGTAAACTCTAGGTACTAAGTTTTTTGTAAAATTCTGCAGGAAGGACTGCCCTTCAAGATTTCAGTATTGAGAAAATACAAAGAGCTATTTTCATTTCAAAAATTCAACTAGTGGGCATTTCTTCAAGTTTTTCTACTTAGAACATTGTAACTTACTGAGTTAAAATTGTTTACAAAACTCCCTGTCCCACAAGGACATTAAAAAGTCAGTTTTAAGCCTGAGGTTCAATGTTGAATTGAAGGAAAAAATACATTTTCTCCTTTCTCATTGAAATAATACATAAAGCATCCTAAACACATTCATAAAACAAGTGAACATTTTTTTTTTGAAATTTAACAATAAATTTGTGCATGACGCTTCTCTTCTTTTTGGGGAGAAGATAGTGATTTTCTGTCAAATAATGTTTTACTGGTTAAAATATTATATGTCAGTGCCCTCAAATGTGGATGAGTGGAAAATGTGGACATATTTAAGTGATTTATAGATTTGTATGGATTCTTCCACATAAATGAATATAAATGACTCTAAGATGAAAATATATAAATGGATAAACTATAAGTGGGTCTTGTGTGTGTTTTGCAAATAGAATGGCCTTTTTTAAAAAACAAGAGAAGGTCAATTTGGAGTAACCTGTATCAAGTCACATCTAAAACAAATTAACACAAACATCCTTATTGTGAATAGACTAATGCTGGCGCAGTGACTCACACCTCTAACCCCAACACTTTGGGAGGCCCAAGTGGGAGGACTGCTTCAGACCAGGAGTTAGAGACCAGTTTGACCAACATAACAAAATAATATTATGACTATTTTTTTAAAATAAAGACTAACAGAGTGAATGTCCCTAGGAAGAACTATAATAATGTGACTTTGTAAGTTAACAGTTGTGACTATCACAAAGAGAAAACAATCGAGAATGTGAAAACTGTACTTTCAGGTGAAGTCTGGGCAGATCCCAAGAAACTAGGTTAATAAATAAAATAATGCATCTGCATTAAAACAGTAGTTTAATAATTATAAACCTAAGAAACTATCTTGTACTAGGGGAATCCTAGATGGAATTTAAGGCAACATTTATATATTTTTGAAAAGAAATGCTTTAAAATGACTCTTCTTTTGAGGCCAAAGATCAATGATGGTTTCCAAATTGAATCCATGGGATAAAGACATTAGAGAACAGTAGCCATTTAGGTACTATGCACTGTTCATGTCTTTAGAGTTTTGAGAACTGCCTCAAGAGAAAGAAACAGGGCTAACTGAATAATCAGTGTTGCCTTTAAAAAATTTATTACTGAACCAGCCTGACTCTAGGTAGCTTGTATACTAGGAAGTACACATCACACAATACTGTATGGTTTTAGGCATTCAAAATAAGTATAACAAGATAGAAAATTAAAAATACTTGATTATCTAATGCCTTCCTTTAGCAAGCAAAGTTTATAAATCCCAGAAGAATTTTAGCCAAAGAAATGAGTACCCTTCTCAGAGGATTGTTAAATCTGTTTGAGAACCTGGGAGGTGGAGGTTGCAGTGAGCTGAGATCACACTACTGCACTCCAGCCTGGGTGACAAAGGGACACTCTTAAAAATATATATATATATATACATAAAAAAAAATATATATATATATATATGCGCATTTAATTTTTAACTCTCATTGCTTTTTAAATTCAATAGGCATGTGTGTGTCTGCATAAAAGTAAGCGATTTATAAGCTGGTGGCAGTATCTGAGAATTAGAACCATTAAGCTTTAGAATAATTTTGTATAAACGCTTATGATACAAACAGAAAAAATCTGTTTCTTGATACTCAATTATATGATTTTTGAACTTGAAGTAAAACTTTTCCAGGGTAATGAATATTGGTATTCACAGCTATCTGTAGGGATATTTATAATCCTTAAAGTATGTTTAAGAAATTTCCCAATACTGCTGAAAAATCAGTTAAAAACTTTTTATGATGCCTAAATTTGATGGTAGAACTTCCAACCCTTCTTTTTTTAGTCCTGTTACAATGCAACAAACAAAAATGCTTTCATAATATATCCCTCTTAAAACTTATCCAACAGATTTTGTGCATATGTAGTGGGAAATGAGAAGACATACATTCTTTTCAGCATAAAGAACAAACAGGCAACTTAATTGTATCCTTTCATATATCCCTGGGCTTTGGTATGACATTACTTAAACCAAGGTGGGAAGGGGTGGGAAGGGACCAACATGTTAAAGCCAATTATGTATCATACATAAGAGTTCACATGTTAACTACTTGAAAAAATTCACATTTATTTACTGTCAAACCGTGTTAAACTTTACACTGGATATTAGTGATGGGCTCATTATTAACAGGTTTACACAAAGGGATGAAAAGAAAAGCAGAATTTTGCTGAAACAATTTACATTTCATTAGAATTTTATCATAAAATAAATTAATTACTAAATATAGGCAGAAGGAATATGGAAGAGTAATATTTATGTTTTATTTTATTTTTTTAAAAAAGAATAGGCACCTTTTGTTCACTAGAAAGTTTGTGAGAAGTGCCCAGTGCCCTCTTTGCCCTCTGTTCAAGAATAAACAGAGGGGTGACACACAATCTTTTCTAGATTTCACCACTTCTGTGCAAGGCATGGCATAACTGCCTTGGAAGAGTTTTTTTCTTCCCATAAATCACGTTCTTTTGGCAATAAGAAATTTAAATGTAAGTAATAAAGACTAACTTGTCAAAGCAGAACACTGTATACAGTGGAAAAGAAGTGAAAATGGGTAGAACTTACCATGACAAAGTGTAAGAAAAAACATTTCCTAACATGTGCAACCAAGAGCTTTTCACAATATTCTCTTCACTCTTTAAAATTATTTTAATGACAATTATATTTCAGTTGGACACAAATGTATTTATTTTACCCTAGCAATAGAACAAAATATAATTTCTTTAGCCATTTTTCATGAGAATAGTTCATTGTACAGTTGAGGAAACATATGAAATAAGGCCTGTGGCTTGATTGCTAGTGGTTAAGCATGTTTTCAATCTTTGCCTTAATGTAAAAGATTTGCAGTGAACTGCAAACTGATGCAGAATATCTCTCCTGCTTTTCCAAGTCTTGTCAGGAATAGTAAGGTACAGTAAATTTGTCCCACAGGATTTTAAAGCCTACGTCTTGTATATAATACAATGCAGGCCTACAAAAATGGTGCAGCCATATTTACAAATTTAGTTCACAGACTGCTGCAGTAAAATGGCTGGAAAGTTTTGTTTTGCTTGTTTCACAATTTCTCTAAACAGCAGCAGAATCTTAAAATACCTGGTTGGCATCTCTTTTCTTTGTAACAAATAATTCATTTTAGTATACTCTGTGTATATACAAAGTTTTTGTATGTTTTATAAAAATTCACAGAACTGCAAGGTTCAGTCATCTTTTTTACACTGGAGAACCACAGGTCAAGAGTCATCTCTTCAAGCAGAGTTTGAGGGAGCTGCATCAGGCCAATGGAGTCTTTATTTATTAATACTTGCATGTGGCCCTTGGAATTCCTTAGCTCTACGATTAAAGACTTGTAACCAGCTGCATTTGTCCTTCTCTAACATCTCCTTCTGGAATACACCCTTCTTTGTTAATTGGGATTATATAACCATCACTATTGCCCCTGCTGATCTGGTAGCACATCTGAAGCTGATGGCCAGCTCCAAGATTTGGCATGCTTTTATAGTAAATGTCCTCATTCTCACTCCTCCTGGAGGGAGAGAGGTCTTCTTCCATGTCAGGGCTGCTCTCCGGATAGGGGGAGTCTCTAAGATTGGGCATGCTTGTGTAAAGAGAGTCTCTGTTGGGGGACTGTAGGTGATCTTCAGCCTCTGCTGTCAGCTGGGAGACATAGCTGTCAGTTCCCTCGGACTTCACTTTCTTCTGGGGTTGGTACAGAAGGGAGTGAGTCCGCTGAGGAATAAGCGGTGCCTCGAGTTCTTTGTGATGGAGCTCCAGCCCTGGGTTGTCGCTGTGCATTAAAGATGAAGCATCTGCCACAATAGCATCATCTTCACTGCTGCTACCTCCAATCACAGGTTTGACTGGTAACGTGAGCTCGAGGTTGTGAGTCTTGCTGCTGCCCCGTAAGTTGTTGTGCACTAATTCTGAAATGATCATTTTCTCAAAAGCAGTATCATTCAGACTTAGTCCACAGTCCACAACTTGCACGCTGTCATTATAGTCACCCTTGCGCAGCGAGTAGCTGTTGTTAAAATTACCATTTAGCGGTAGAGTATCCATGGCACTTGTATCCCTGGCATTGTTCAGTGAATGTCCTGAAACAGAAGAGGGGGAGTTATCGTTACTGTCTCTGTTCCTTTACAAAGAAACTCTATTTCTTTTGTACAAAACTTTTTAATGTCGTTCAGGACAAAGTTGTATTTGAAAGCTAACACTTGAGAAGTGCCAGGCTTTCCCGCATTCCCAACTGTAAACAGTTGCAACCCCTCAGATAACAGGAAAAAGTGTTAAAAATAATACTGTTTTCAAGGGAGGGAAAATGGCATACACAGTAATACTTTGTCAATTTCGGGAGACAGTACTTATTAATTGATTTTGGTCAAATCTCTGACACAAAGAAGACTTCACTCCATGCCCTTGCATAGTTAATGCAAAGCAATTCATTAGTGACATTTACATTTTGAAGTACAAGACTATGGTTTATAAAAATAAAATTAACAGAATTTGTCCTAAACAACACTAAATTAAAAAGGAATAAGTCACAATACAAAACTGAAAGGCAAAATGTACAACATAAACCCACATAACTGGCAAGCAACTTTTTAAACAACATTCTAACATTTCCTTTTTTCTGGAGATGAAGTAAAAAAAAGAATGAAAACATGGACAGATACAAAGAAGTCATGTTAAACAAAGACAGCCATCTCTCATACTGACTGGACCAGGGGTCCACAAGCACCATCCAACATCACGATAGACAGCAGGTGGAATGACTCACTTTGGACAACTCACATCATGTCTGTCTGCTCAGGCTATCTGGCCTAAGAGTAGCTGATATATAAAAGAAAGTAAAATGATTTATTGTAACATGATGAAGAATTTCTAAGCTTCTCAGCAACTTAGTCAGAGCAAGGGTTCAACAAATTAGATTACCAGCAATAGCAGCCTTTTATTTTTCATTTAATATTTATTATTTTGAGTTTTTGGTACTAATAATCTCTCTAATAGCAATGGCCCCAGGCTTCTAGTGGTCAAAGTTTGCCTGCAGCCCTGCAGTCTGCATCAGTCACAGTGACAGCACCGAATGAACCAGCAGAGTCCACTGTACGAGATTGGCCCACAGACACCATGGCCATGGAGGTCAAAAGCAGAAATGTTAGAGATTTCTTAAGTATGGGTCACAGAAATTAAACCAAGAATAAATATTAACTATGGAATGGGAGAAGGGTGGCAGCCTTGGCTAATATATTTTTATTTCTAAAGGAATGAAAGACTGGATAAGTCTGCTGAAGATAGGAAAAGAGGTTTAGGAGGGGGGAAAAAAAAACATGGTAACATGCTCTATTGGAATCAGAGTTGTATTTTCCACAGACACATAAACATGTAAACTAAGACATCACAGTGCTTCTCAAGCAAATGAAAAAAAAAAGTCAAGAGAAAATTAAATGGTCTGCACCATGGAAAGTTAGGTTATTCATTCTCAAAATCCTAGAGAAAAAAAAAATCACAGTCTACAGATAGGTCTGTAAAAAAAAAAGAATGAAATGATGTTATTGAAATGAAACTGACCACTGTGAGGCTGCTGCATTGTATGCAAGGCTTGGAGGAGTTTAGGAAAAAATTTAGTTCTTGGAAAAAAAATACGAAATTTCCCGTTTTAGTGCTCACTCCACTCTTAAAGCTGCAGATATCCTAGAAAATGCAGTTTCCTTCAGAGAAAAAAAAAAAAAATCTGTATGGCCTGATACAAACTTCATGACCAATAAATATGTGATCATTGTTGGGCAAATTATCATCAGCAAAAAAATGAGAAAATGAGGGAAGATTATATTTGTTAGTGATTTGTATTGTTTAAAGACTGTCCCAACTTCCACATTTGAAAAACTGACAAATTTCTATCATGTTCCATGTGCAACAAAATGAAATTGTGATAGTTATTTGTAAGGCTTCCTTTAACTTGGTAGACACAATTCTTTAGCTTCATAAATTCATGTTATGTGCTATAATCTTCGTAAGATTATTAAAAAAAACATTTGGCACTTAAAGGTATGAGTGACACATGGCTCACTTGCTAGCATTTGTTTCCTCTGTAGAGGTTCACTGTTTTCAAAGATTTTCTTTTGTTTTATCATTGCTTGGTAAATATAACACTATATACTGGATATAATCCAAAAGGTCTTTTCTATGATATACTGCAGATTTAAGCCATCTTTGACTGGTTTTGAAGAGGTATCTTTTTCTGCCCAAGTTCAGGTAATTCACTTGAAGATTTTCCACAGCCTGTAGCAAGATTACTGTGGGAATGCAGAAATGATAAATCAATTATTAAGCATTTTGGTTGACAGTACTTCAGGCTTTATAGAGCAAATTATTTCAGCATTGCGTATACTTAAGTATGGACAGCATTTGCTACAGACCTCCATTACTGACAAAAGGCAGTACAGATGGATGTACTGTTTGAATTTGGTAACATTTTAGTTGCAAATTGTGAACCACTTGCCCGCTGAGTCTACTTCATGACTGCTAGTTATGTTTTAATTGTGCCCGTTAAAAATCATGCTGAAAAAATTTACATTTGATAGGCAAAGTTAAGTTTTACTCCCATACTTGTCTCTCTGTAGGTTGCTAGAGGAAAGCATAAGGAAAGTAAAAAAAAAACAAGAGAATGAAAAGAGAAGCTGCAGTTACATTAAAAAATAATTTTAAGAAAAAAATGGAAACGAAGTTCTGTGTTTAATTTAGTGGCAAATATTCATCACAAATAAAGATTATATGCTAGCAGTAATTATGTGAAAACTTTACCAAAATCTTGAAAATTGTTAATATTAAATATATATATGCTTTTATTTAAAATAAGCTATTAAACAACATAGTAATATAAGATGGGTTAGTGACAATCTTTCCCCCTCCCCCAATTAAAAACTATAGGTATAAGCTGACTAATATTAACTTTATTCTGAATTTTTTCTTAAGAAAAAAGAAAACTACATAAAGCTGCACTATACTATAGTTTGGATATATTGATAAGCTGAATGTGGTTTTCTATAGCTAGGCATCCAAATTATCTTCATTAGCTAATTCATTCCAGAAGCAAATTTTGTCAGCAAGCTTTAGAATTAACTGAACAGTATATTATATAGATAGGATACCTCTAAATGATATAAATCTTGAAGATGGGCTCTCAGACCATGTGATGTCAGTCCTGTAATAATATATTAAGATTTATGCCACCTGTGTTAAAAACATGGATAATTATTGTAAATACTATCATGACTGAGCTTTTACTATAATATAGTGCAGTTTTAGAAGCCTGGCATAGGCAATACGGTAATTTTTTTTAATTGATAAATTAAGAATGTAATAATAAATATATGTCAACTTGAATATTTTAGAAACAGGGCAAAGATCATAGCTCTGTTTAGCAGCAAAGAAAGGTAGTTTTATTTGTAAGTAAAGCACACCTGGTGAGTTAAATACAGGAGCTGAAGGGGCATTACATACAACTGTTTCAGCGAGCAATGTGTTATAGGGGTTGTTAGTGCCGTGGGGTCGAAGAAGAGGGTTTGTTAGTAGGTAATTGCCAGTCATTCCTAAAGTAAAAAAAAACAACAACAACAAAACACAGAAAAAAGTACATCAGTCTCTTATTTTAGCGTTACAGTGGTAGTAAAGTATTTTTTTATATTCATCAAGGGTAGTGGACAAGTTGACAATGGAAAATCTGTTGAAATATTCTGACTGTATTTGAACTACTAATTTGCAGGAGAGAAGGGAGAGGGAAGTTAAATTTCAGTAATTCACAGGTGCTTTCTAAATCCCCCAAGTAAACACCTGCTGAGGATGACATTTACTAATTTATACAAAAGCACTGTTAAACAAAAATGGCAATTAAATGCATAGAAATCAACATTATGTTTCAAGATGTTACTGCTTAATATTAAAAACATAACCACTGAGGCCCAGAAGAGGGAATCTCAAACTTTCAGAATTTACAGGTGTGGGATTATCTCTCATGAAAACATCTGTGTTAATACCAACTTTGATACGAGCAGGAGGAAAAACAACTTTCACAAACAGGTGGAAAGTATGACACACTGCAAAAAGCTGCTCTTAGTAAATGCAAAAGCACACATGCTGAGAAAAAAAAGACTATACAATGAATTATTAGGTCATTCACAAATTCTACATAACAAGAATTTTCATTATGTAATATTATTTGCCAGGTTTCAAAAATGAATCATTGAATAATGCATTTACTTTTTGATAGCCAACAGAACGAAGTAAAATACCAAAGCAACAGAAGAAATGCACATGTCTTTCATTCTAACTGACAAATTACAAACTTTTAAATACTTACTGATTATGTTTTGCATAGCTAATGTAATTTGGATAAAAATATCTTAAAATGCAGGTTAGTATCGCTACCACACATACACCTTTTTTTCATTTTAAATGAGAATCTCACTAGAACAATGTCAACAGTTTAAAATGTCATTATTTCATTGTAATAAATTCTAACCTGTATTACAAGTCAGTACATATCAAACTGAAAATAGCGTGATTAAATTATCCTTCCAAGGATATATACAATACCATATAATTTTTCATACTAAATTGGAATGTATTAAGCTTTTATTCAAGAATACATGTGTGTGCATATACTCTTTTCTAAATTACTTCATTTCCTAGCATATTTTAAGAACTGTATTGACTGATGAATTTAAAGCTGCCACTGTAGACACATCAAACAATATAGAAAAAGTTGCTTATAAACTTTCATGTGTTTTTGTTTATGAAGATTTCTACAAATGATTTTAGCATTTATTTTTCACTTTTTGAAAGAAAGATTAAAAACATAATTTCCATGGTACTGTTTCATGTGAATAGTAATTATTCTAATTTTATTAATGTTTTATGAAGAAAACCTTCATAAATGTCTTGGTCAGAAAGAATAAATCTGTACTCCCTAGGATAATATTTTTAATCTGTGGTAAGGTATATTTTCAATAATTACCTTCAAGCCGCATCCTGTTAATGCAGTTTAAAATTATATTTCTTGCATTATATTATTGAATAAAAGGAATTTATATGTACTTTAATAAATGGTAATAATTCAAATTTTCCTGATAACTGACCTTGATTAAGTGTTGAAGTGCTATTGATGTCACCTGAGATAAAAGAAGATTCAGATTGTTTTCTCACAGTATCATTCCACATTCTTCTTATACGACTCTATTAATACAAAACAGCGAGACAAACGTGTTTTGTTAGTTTCCCCAAGCTTACCTTATTAAAGACATACAGAGATTTACCCTAAACAACCTATGTAGGATTATCTGGTGGCCTTTTAAAGAATGTGTGTTGTTTCTGGTCTAAAACTAACAATGTCTATTGTTTATTTACTAAGCAACTAAGGGATATTTAATCCTCCACTCTTAAAAACATGTTATTTTATTGTCTTTTTTTTAAAAAGTGGAGATCACTGATTATTCAATATACGTTTATTGAGTGCCTTCTATGAGCATTGTGCTATATGGCCTTAGGCTATAAGACGATTATGATATACTTCTTAAGTAACTCTCCACAAAAAAGGATGTTCACATATAAAGAAACACTGAAGAAATGTTTAAGAAGACATTAAAACCAAAATACTAAAAAAGCAAGTATTTGCTATCTAGATCATTATAATGAGGAGACAATTAGTGCATCTGAACAGAACATGTCTCAGTAGGCTTTCTATAAATACGGTTAATTAAAGATGCTGTCAAACTCTTTGTTACCTGTGTGCCAGAGGAATACCGAGCACTGGTTCTGGTGGTTGATGCCTTCACTGAACTGTGGGGACTCTCAGTTGGGAGGCCTCCACAGCAGTATGAATGTCTGAAGCACTTGCCATATTCTTTTCGTACCTGCATTGAATAATCACGAGACCAAGGGATTAATATGAACATACTTGCTTCTCTCTCTCTAATTAAATGAACAGTGAAGACAACCGAAAAGAATTAAAAGTTCCACTAAGACTTATCCGTGGAGAAAATAAATTGAACTTGCAAAATCAAGTTCAATTAAAATTACTGAAATAGTAATCAGAAAAATATCTCTGTCCACTAGACTGGCTAGTAGAATCTTTAAAATGTGATACAACATGAAGAAATACTCTATATCCTGTTATAATATAAATGTTAGTTATTAAATAATAGCAATATATTTATAGTTTTATTCTCTTATACTTAGTAACTCCAATTTTTTATTTTATGCTAAAAAAAACGGGACAAAAAGTTTAGCATTTTCCTTGCTTAATTACATTTAACCACTCTGTAATTCAGTTGTTGAAGTTTTATATGCTTCATGTCCTCTTAGGTAGGTCAACACAGAAACCTCTTTTGCATAGTTTTGCGGGTAACCTCTTTATAATGACAAGACTACTTTGGCACAAGAATAAAGAAAACAAGTACTTTGATACATTTGCCACTAATTAGGACAGAACGTTTTCTTCATTTTCTGATGTGTCGAGCTTTAACTTTTAGTGTAGAGAGTTTAAGATGTCTATTCACTTCATTAGCACACAAGGGGAACTATTTTATGCAGTTTCCGTTCACATTAATGAGTTACCCATGTAATTTCCCCTTTTCCCCTGAAGCTTGAAAATATGAATGCAAAAAAAAAGTTGTTAGGTCTAAAAAAAGTTTCAACTAAACTTTAAAAAGTGAAGTCCGAACAACTGCTAAATAATAGGGCCCCATCTAAAGCAGTGTTACAGAATTAAGTAAAGAGGGAGAGGGTGCTGTTGGAGTATTGCAGCCATACTGGCATATACATGTTTTCTTGTGGGTTAGAGCCAGACTGTGAAATTACAAGACAGACAAGAAGAAACTGCGTAAGAAAACATTTTTTCTAATAGGTTACAGAAACACTCAAAGGCTTTCCCTCAACTCATAAGTTTATGTGCAGTAACTGCCTGTAAAGACCATGACTTTGACACTTACTACTTGCAAAATTAGAAAATTAGAAATCAGTAGATGGCATTTAAATCTAAGTGCACTTGCATTTTCATCTTTTTAGATTTATTTAATTAACCTATTAGAACAAATAACAAGGTGGTTGAGGCTTCAAAGCATTTTCTTGGCCTAAATATGCTCATTCAAGCAGTTATAACCATGATTTTAACTTAACCATTTTATATCATATTCTTAACAACTCATCCTGGTGCACCCAAGTGGATGTATCCGAGACTAAGTTATACTTCTTTTTCTCATATATGAAGAAATAATGACTACCTCACTCGTTTTCTGCTATGTCTATGCTTTGTGTCAAAGATGCTTGGCACAACAGCACAAAAATTATGAAAATACAATAATATGCCTGTATATAAAATGCTCACTTACGTAGGAAATATATAAAAGCCAAAGTAATTTCTAATGTTACCCCTGTACAATGTTTATAAGTTAAAGTTCATTGTTATTAAATAACACATCATACCTCACAAAAAATTTCAACACATTTAATGGGTGTTAACTGCTATGAAATGCTGCATAACCAAGACAATGGCAATCAAAATGGTATTTTATCCAAATAATACCTTCCAGTGTTGGTTTTGCCTAATGCCTATATTGCTGTGAATGTACATTATCTGTCAGTATTGCACATTCCACTGTCATTATCTCAAAATTATAGCTTATTCAAAACTGATGGAAGTAACAACACTATCATCTTGTCAGGACTGAAAACATAATAGTTTTCACTTTCACAATTCTATTTCTCTGTTCAATTTAGTGACCAACTAGTAATAACAGAATAAAACGACTACATTAGATATGAAGTCAGAAAAAGGATGATACCTAGTGAAAGGTATGGAAATTTTATACTTAAATAGCACCTAAGCAATTCCCTTAGGTTTACATCTTCTTGCTACAGATTAAAGCTTTTCATCTGTAAGTTTTGAATCATTTTTGCTGACTCCACTTAACATAAAATCAGGACAAAACAGTACGACGTAAGGTAGTAATTATTGATTTTTAGATCCTTCAAAATTACTCAAAAGGTAACATTAATTTTTTGTATGTCTGGTGCTTTAAAAATTAACATCATTTATCCTTTACTCAACTTCAGTGTGAGCCACTGCAATGCCTTTAGCAAACAAAGAATGAGTTTTATTTAACCTTTTATTTTACCTTGTATACCCTTTGTATCTAGCATTTTATAGACCCTACAAGCAAGGAAGAGATCTTAACCTAAGTATCTAGTTTGTAACATTCCCGAACTGAGATACAAAAGATGACTGGTATTATTTTATAGATGAACCTAAATTTTCAGACAGGTATTAAAATTAACTTATAATTAAAAATATGATGCTCTTTAACAATATGCCAGATGTGACTTAAAATATTCTTTATTATATCTATTATACTCAAATCAAAGAATGAGTAATCTGAGCCCCTAGGTGTTTTCAATTACTTACTTTCTTTTGGAGAGCACAGTGAAAGATGAAAATGAACACTCCCTGGAAAGCATTAAATATGGTGAAGAGATATGCCATCACAATAGTCTCCTCGTTAATAAAAAGCAACCCAAATGACCAGGTGAGGCCAAGAAGACACAGAAGAGCAAAAGCGCCAAGCACCCAAGACCTGGAAAAATAAAGTGAACTTTTTTAACACGTTCAATGAGCAAAAAACACGCATCACGCTTAAATGTTAACATATCAGTAGTGGCAGTTGACTTTCTCTATGTTCACATTCAAATTCAACAGCATTTTGGCTTTAACCTTTCACTGATTAAGAAAGAACAACAGCATTTAGTACTGCAGCCTCCAGTGAAAACAGCAACAGCAGGTATGACCTTTTCTTATTCCAGAATAAACAAAGTATCAAAACTATATTAAAATACAAGGTGTAATATATCCCCTATGACTTTGTCTTTTATGTGCATTTTCATAAAATAAATTAAGGAGTGCTTAATTAATTTACTTCTGTATTTTTATTCCTTTGGTGTACTCACATGACGCTGAATAATGTGACACATACAGAAAGGTTAAATGGCAGATAATCACTTAACACCTAAACTTCAGATTCTAATAAACTAGTCTTAGGTGAACCTAAGGTTTTATAACTAAAGCATGAAGAAGCCTAGCTGAAATGGGACAAAAACATGAGAACAACTTCAAAATAAAATAATTTTGGAGAGATTCATCATGAATAGCTTAAGAAGAAAAGAACTGTAGGAAATAGGACGGAATGAGAAGGATTTAAAGTCAGTGCATTCCATGTCTAACTAATGATCTTACTTGATAAATGGCTTATTATCTTCATAGCTAGAAAGCATTATAAGCAGAAAAGAGAAACAAAATTATTAGACAGAATTAAAATAGAAAGTAATAAGAAAGCATTTATATATTTTATAAATTAGTCAAAATTAAGAAAGTCAAAATGCAGAGGCAAGCAATTAAAAAATAAAGGCATATTATAGTTTTAAAATACTATAGCAAACTAGATATTTCAAAATAATTATAAAAGTTAAGGGCAGTTCATGATATTGACGGATTTGTAAAAAATATAAATCATGCTATAAATTTGTTAATGTAGGGTTCTACCTTACCCAGGTAAGTCCGTATTATAGTAGCCATCACAAACACGGTAATTACTGGTGTAGATGAGAAGACAGAAAGAGGAAAAGGAAGAAAAGAGAGAGATGCTAAAGATTAGCTCTCTCTCTTACCATGCAACATGCAATGAAGTTGGCACTAACCTATCTAAAACATCTAAATAAAAAAAAAATTTTACCCTTACTATAGATCTGCCATTTTTGACACTAAAAATAGTATTTTTTACAATCACATTATAACCAACTTGAATAATACCTTCTCAAGTTCTAAATTAAAAGGCTCAGATATTTTAAAGGTAACTCTGAAAATGTTTCCGTAAGATGATTTAATGAACAACAGCTATCATTTTTTGTTAATTAGATAGCATTTTCTCCATTGACAGACTATTGCAGCTTTTATTCAACATTAAGATAGAGTAAATATTTGTTTAATTAGCATGAAAACAACAGATAATCTTCAAGTTAACAATAGTAATAGAGTAAATTCTCTTAGGAAAACAGGATTAGGAGTGGAAACTGCTCAGAATCCTTAAAGCAAAAAGTCATTTAACAAAACAAACTTAATATAATCATATCAGCCATGCAAATAGGAAAATCATTTTGAACTGCATTTTAAATTCAAATGAAACTGCTACAATGATACGGAATTTCCAGGAAGCCACTGAAACAATTTATGGTTCTAGATCAAGACAGCAATTTTATTATCTAATCTTTGACCAGTGTTGGTGATACAGTAACACTGAGATTCAACTTGAGGGCAGTAAAACTTCATTTTGAATAATTTCTACAGTTGACAGAAGGTAGAAATCCCTGTGTTCCCTGTGGAGAGTATCTTTTACTTAGTTTGCCAAGTATTAAAATTAAAATACAAAATACTTACTTAATGTTTTCCAACCTGCTAGAATCTGGTTTCAAAGTGTTTGAATGCTTCACCATTTTGCATAATGTGATCACCAGGAAGACAATATTTAGCTGTTGTAACAAACAAAGAATTAGACCACAATGAACAAACAGCTGAAAAATGAATAGTTCTTGCAAATGTATCAATCCATGTTTATATGGCAGATACTGATACAATTTTTTTATGTATGCAATGATCAAATTGAGTCTACTAAAAAATACTCTGGCTATGTATGATCAATTCTTTAATAGATCATTTGACATCAAATTGAACCTCATTAAGTCAGTATTATATGGTAATGATTAAATAAATTAGAAAACCTAAATTAGTTTCTTTAGCTAGATGTATTCCAGGGCCTAAAAGCCATCTGATGGAAACACTAAAGTGAATTCCTTAGAAGGAGTATTTACATCATGTACATCATGTAATCTACAAAATTGCTGGGTTTGGAACCGTAAGTCTTGGTTGTGAGTCTAGCTCTTGATTTTGACTGATTAAATGAGGACAATCACATCTGTCTCATCTATTCATAAGGCAATTGTGGGGACCAAATGAAATAACATATGATAAATGTTTGTTATAATAAAGTAAGATAAAGTTTATATAGGTATGTTTTGCCATTTAACTGTTAAAAGCCATCAGTCCTTTTTTTCTATGTCTCTGTAGTGTAAGGAAGTAGATACATTCTGACAAAAGGCTGTTTTGAGTCCTTCTAAACACTCAGCTATGCAAAGAATCTAGGTGCAAACAAAAGCAAAATGAGGAAGATGTAATCTGACAAGAAGGAAAGTGAGTGGATTCCAAGAGGTCAACCTGAGCTTGCTCAGAGGAAGAGGAGCTGTGTTTTGACTAAGAGACAAAGGTTGGTAATTTGCATTTGTTTCTACAGACATCTGGAAGAATGTTGGAAGAAGAGGAGGAGGCAGTTCCATTTTTATGCTCCAAAAATAGAACTAAATTACATTGTTCCTGGATTTTTTTTTTTTGCCTTTTTTTTTTTGGTTTCTTTTTTAAAGGGAAAAAAGAGTTATTTTGTGAGCTTTATATGACTTAATACCAGAAATAGTATATTCAGAAAAGGACCCATTTCACCTATTATAGGTAAGGATGAATTTAAATCCTTGTTGCAGATAATCAGCATAACTGTGTTACAGTAACATGATCATTTTTACTGAGTCACAATATCACATGATCAAATGGTAACACTATTCATCATTCACTACTTCTGATTTTATAATTAGGAAAAGTGATAAAGGGCAATAAATAAAAATTTCCAAGTCCTTCCCCATGATGAGTTTAGAAGCAGTGTTAAGAAAAGCTTTAATGTAGGCTATGTATCTATCAAGCTATTTTGTCCACCGTGCCCTATGATTTCTCTTAGACGGAGAATTCCTTCTTAAGGGATAAAATGAGGTAATTGGGCAAAACTTTACAAGTGTTGGCAGGTAACATTCTGTCCTTTGATGTTAATTACTTAACGGCAAAAACAGTTTGTTTAAAAAAATTTTTTTTTTAAATTTCTTAAAATACATCTAGAGAGAAAGTAAATACAATTGTAGAAACATTATCTGGCTTTATTTTCCACAACATTCTAGTTGGTCACAATATAAATAAATGCTTGAATTTTTTGGATATGTTACAATATGATACATTTCATTCTTGTTCCATAAAAGGATGTGCTTATTGTATTGTGAATGAGTAAGACACAATTTCTGCCTTTGAGAAATTAGAGAGATCCTTCTGGTAGTATAGTAGTAAATATCTGATTAGGGTTTTAAAGAATCATGGTAAAGTGTATCTCTAATTTTTTTTAAGGCAAAAATCAAGAGTTTTTTTTTTTATTTTAATTTTATGCAACACTAGCTTTAACTAGTAAAATTCAAGAATGGTTAAAAACTAAAACCCTATAAACGTTGTAAAAAAAAAAAAAAAGACACCAAAACCCAAGTAAACAAATAAACTGACTATAATAGGTAAGATGGCTGCTTTGCAGATTCACAATTTAAATCCTTTAAATCATTCTCCCTTTGTTTCTGATCCTTTGTTTTTGAATGGCCTGATAAGAACAATTTGCCTTCTTTTATCCCAAACTTCTGAACATAAGGGTTTTTTTCCTTCCTCTTCTTAAACAATTTCCTGAAGTGTATAGGACCATAATTTGGTGTTCATAATTTTCTAAGCATATTAGTTATCCCCTTGGGAACAAAATAGTAGTAGTACTAAACATTCTGGAAAGAAAGTTATTCATTATTCACTACAATGTATAAAATTTATAAGGAAACTAAAAAATGTGAATGTGGAAAAATGTGAACATATAAAGTATTATATTGCAAAAAGAAGAGTAGAAAATGATAAAATCTTGGAAGTCAACTCAGAAGAAATATTTTTCAATGGCAAAAATCAGGGACAACTTTCCAGTAAAACTGACATACTAAAATGAAATCTACCAATATAAAAATACAATTAAGGCTTAAGTATGATAAAGTCATTTTTCCTAGTTAATAATACTAACCAAGGTGAATATGCCATACAAAACTTATCTCAATTAATCCTTTAAAAACAGACTGTTCAATACATTTCTCCTCTTTTGCTCCCCTCACTTAACTGAGGTTTTTACATTACATGTGTTTAATGTGTCTTTCTAGTTACACATACAATACATTCACAATGCAAATTCAGAAAATAAAGAAAATTACAGAGGAAAAATACAGCTACAATCCTATATCCAGTGGCAGCAGGCAGTACTTGTATACTCATTTTAGAAATAATTGAGATGTATCTTTCCAAAGACTTCTTAGCTACTATATTGTCAGTGCTGGGATTCAATATACTGTGGTCTGGACTCTACAGCCCACAGACTTCCCATATAAAATTAACCAATTTATTCTGGGTGAAAAGATTAGAAGTCTCCTAACAAAGATATACTAAGTCTATATTTAAAAGGTTCCATTTCTATAAAAAGTAATCCAACTTAAAAATCATTCAGAGATGAATGAATTGAAGATAAATAAATTAACATATAAAATACTGCCTCAAAGAAATCCTATTTATGTTATTTACATAATAGGTATGCTCATCAAATGACTTCTGCCTGATGGATTTGCCAGAATTAACCAATTCTCCATTTCCTTTGGAAAACACTACCATCCCACAATCAGCAACTGGCCAAAACACCCACACTTCTACTCCCACTAGTCAAGTTGCATGCTTAATAACAGTTAGTTTATTTTTTCCAAACCTGTTTATGTCATTTATACTTCTACATAGCTAAATATCACACATAAGCTCATGAATCCAAGTGCAAATATAAGAATGAAATTTTTAAAAGCTGTTTCTAACATACTTAAAATGGAATGTTTTAGAAGACTTGAAAGTGAGTTTCTTTAAAAACAACTAAAAGCATTGGAAACATAATCATAACTGAGGGATTTTTGCACTCAAATTACAAGTGTCTGAATTCTCCAACTTGAAGAAACTGAAAATAAAACTTTTAGCTAATGCACTCACATCTAGATGTAAAGAAATTTATAGTTAAACCCAACACTAACTTAGCCTCTGAAACACGACTTGAAGGCATACAAATAATGAGGCAATGGTACGTGGAAGAGGACAAAATACCATCGTTTCAAGACAAATTAATTATGAAATAAAGCATATGACATACTGTAAACCATAATATAAGATGGCAAAAAACGCTAAATAAGATTTTTCTTTTTCCCAACTCAATAAAAAAAATTCACCAATACGTATTACTAGTCTTATTAGAGAAATACAAAAACTTTTATATCATTTAGATGGCTCAACGATTTATGCTACCACCAACATATATGACAATAAAATATCTTCTGAAATTAAATAGAATATATACTGAAGCATAGGTACATTTTTTAAAATGTGGTTTTACAGTTATCTTATTTTCTCCAATGTTAAAAAAAAGTAATGCTAAATTTTAGTTTGACAGAATAAATATTGTCACTGCCTTTCAGGAGACAATGCATTCTGATAAATAAAATTTTGCAGGGAAAACTATTTCAAAAATTTTTTCCCCTTTCTTACTTCTTTCTCGTTTTCTTAAAATACAACTGTGGAAATGAGAATAAGAGGTAGACGGGCAAATAAACACATCTTTGATAAAAATCTATAGTCATTTTAAGACAAAAAAGGTAGGTTTCAAATAAACTACTGGCTGCAAATCTGAATTCCTTTCTTCCTTGCATTTTTCTCTTTCCAGCCATATACTTCTGTGCTTCCCCACACCCAGCTCCCGCTGGTTATAAGAAGTGATTTCTTTCTCCTTCTTACTTTTACTTTTGCTCAATTTATTTTTCTGCCATTGATATACATTTACAAAATCAATCACAATAGTCAAACATGGTATTTCCCCTATTTCTCAATGGAAGGCAGGCAAGGAGGGAGGGAGAGAACAATGTCTCTACCATCCAATTGCTGTTCTTCTCCCTTGAATTCCAATGCAGCCACTCTTGACCCTCTTGCTCTTTGTTTTTTCTTTTCAGTGTAAATAGTACGAAGTTTAAACATAGTATTTTGGCATAGGTTGAAAGGCTCCATGCATCAGTGAGAAAGGAAAAAGGTGGAGTTACAGCTGCGCACACAAACATTTGTTTAAACTTGGTAAGTACATGCAGTTACTCAATTATCCACAAAGAAGCCACTACTAGTAAGTATAGGCTATTAGGTTTGTGGTACATATGTACGACAACTCACCAGGCTAAATGTCCATGCTAATAATTAATTCTGGAGATGAAACAACTCATTCAAGAATTAACCAGATTTTAGCTTAGCTCTGGCGTGTGTGTGTGTGTGCCTTGTGTGTAGGCAGGTGTGTGTGTACAGGTAAACAGATGACTATCTCTTAAGAGACATCTCTGTTGAGTGAGAGCAAATTGAGAAAAAAAAAATCCCTTATTCAGTCAAAATGAGTAAGTCATCAAACTGGGACATTTTTTTCTCTCCCACTGACAAAGATCATTCTTTTACCTATCCCCAAATAATAATTTCATAAATTATTATTTATAATAATCTGCCAATTTGCTGATAAAATTTAACACTGCTTAATGATATAGCACAGCTAAACATCAGCCATATTGATGCACCTAAAAATACAAAGAAGTTTAAAAAAAGAAAAAGGTACCACAGATTATAGGAGTGCACAGTTTGTTTTATGGTCATCAACCTGCTCAATTGAATCACATCCGTCTGAGCTTAGCAGTTTAAAATTCATTCCACAGCTTGCAGTGCTGACATGGATATGATAAGACAGAAGAACAGAAACATCACTCTGAAGTAACCTAGCTGAACTGCACATGTTCTGACCCTTTTTGTCCTCCCTGGAGCTTTTGCTACCTGGCAAATGCAGCTCTAAAGCTATACTTGTATCACCAGATCTTTGCTGTTAGCCAAGCAGAAACCTATTTCTCCCTGGGACTAGCAGCCAGAGAGGTGTTCTCTGAAGAAGACTTCTAAATGAGTGTGTGAGCTGAACTCTTACTGAACTGAATTAATTATTAACGATGCAGATGGAGCTGTCCAAATGATAAGAACAGCTCCTGACGTGTCATGATCCAAGCTTTCATTAAACCATTTCAGGCATACTAATGGTTTCCCACTGCTCATTACTTACCAGCACTTTTCTCATAGATATAACTACTCTGGTGCCTGTAGGCAAGATATTCTATAGAAATGCAGAAGTAGGAAGTTTTATTTTCCTTAGCATATTATTTTTCTTCATAGATTATTATTTAGAATGTACACCTATTTAATACAACTAAGTGAAACAGTTTCAATTCAGAAAAATTGAAAATGCAAAGCTATACTTTCTAGGAACAGCAATAGGTATTTTTTGTTACGAGAATATTCCTTAAAAGGACAGTATACAATACAATCTATATTAAGATTTGTACGAGAATTGAGTTTTAAATACCTTATCATCACGAGAGGGAGACATATATATATATATATTTTTTTTTTTCCCCACACACACTGTATAATCATATCATATCTCAATTTAAGTTAGATACTCTTTTGCAAGACGCTGTTTTGTATTCCTACACCACTCTTAATCGCTCTCTGTTGGGAAAATTAGACAGCAAAACAACTGCAGGAGAATTCCAACAAGAACTGTACTGGGATTGCTAACTACTGGGGTTTTTGTTTGTTTTTAAGTTGAGAATGCTCTTGAAAAGGCCCTTCACATCTCAACCTGAAGGATTTGGTAGAGGAAAATAATGACAAGACTTACAAAGCAATAGTGTGCTCTACTATAAATGAACAACATAATAAAATGTCCTTAACCTTTTTTCTTACTAAAAGCTGAGTATTTTGCTAAGTGAAATGTTTTTTAATGATCTAAAATCAGTACTTATCTTCACAGATATCAAATAAATAAAACTACAGTATAAAAGAAGTAAACACATGATAGTCTCATAGGCCAAACATCCCTAAAGCAGTCTTTATATTTTTCAACATATGTCTTTGACGAAGGTCTTAGGGGAAAATGAAAGGTTATGTCTTCAAGGATCATGCCTCTTCATGTCAGCCATTTAACTCTAGATAGGCTTAGGCTGTGTTAACATATGAACATCAAGAATAAAAACTTGGGTAATCATCAGATTTAATAATTCTGATGAGAAATCAGCTTTCCGAGGAATACTTGAGAATGTTTTACTGGTTTAATTCATACAGGCATTCATCTCAAATTTTCACTTCACTATGTATTTGTGCAAAATAATTAATTTAATGACAAATACACACTTGAAGTAGTTTTACGTTTCCTTCAACTACTGAAAGTTTTTCTCAATTTTATGAAACACTGCTTAACCACAAAAAGATCCAAAGGAGCTCATTTGTGTTACGTTTTTGGGAAAAAAAAAAAAAAAGAAAAACTCCTTAAAATAGGAGGTATTTATGTTTCCTTTTCAGAGTTAATAACACCATTTCTATCACCATACTGCTACAACTGAGCAATTTTTTTTTTTTTTAAAGACAGGGTCTCGCTCTGTTGCCCAGGCGGGGGTGCAGTGGTGCAATCATAGCTCACTGCAGTCTTGTGCTCCTGGGCACAAAAGATCCTTTGCCTCTGCCTCCTGAGTAGCTGGGACTACAGGCACGTGCTTCTACACCGAAGTAATTTAAAAGTATATTGTAGAGAGGAGGTCTTGCTATGTCACCCAGGATAGCCTCAAGTGATCCTCCCGCCTCAGCCTCCCAAAATACTGGGACTATAGGTGCGAGCCACCATGCCCAGCCCTGGTTGAAAGTTTTAAATACTAAAGTCTAGATACTGTAGCTACAATCCTTTATTTCAACTATATTTCAAATGTGACTAAGGGTAATGTAAGACATTTAAAAATAGCTTAATGTCACTATCCTTAGCTTGTATCAAATTCATTTAAAAATAGTATTTCTTAAACTAGTATTTTCATTTGGTATCTTCAGTCTTATAGAAGTAATTTTATTTCTAATACATTTTAAGTTGATTTAATAGTCATTCGTTAATGCAAGATTAAACAACTTTTTATACACTAAAAAGAATTGAGGATGTGGACATTCATTTAGAAGTATTAAATTACTATGTGGAAACTAAGATAATAAAAATTAAGGTAATGTTCTTTCACTTTCCTGACATATTTATTTATAACATGGCCTATATGTAAGTATATTTTTTAGATTATGATGTGATATTTTAGCTTATTAAACTAGAAATGAGAAAAAGTACTTCTTAAAGATTTTTAGAAATATTAATTAGCAAGTATATAAAAAATATTTAAAATATACTATTATCCTGTGAGACAGGCATATTTGTAAATCTTTGTATAGATAGATAAACAAACAATAAAACAAATTATCCTTGTTTGAATAGCACTGCTAAAGCAGCAAGCTAAAAATCAAGGGAAAACAGAATCTGCTTACCAGAATAATGAAAGTAACAGGTCCAATGAAGCTCCATATAAAGTAGTTATCAACATGAAGCCAGCAACTATTATGAAAAGAATAGAATATGCATTAGTAGTTTCTATGGAACCTCACCATTACAAGGAAAATAGGATTTTAAAAACCTAACAAAACTAACTTTACATTTGCCTTTGAAAATTCATTTATCATGTGCAAGACCTCTAATAATTCTGAGTTGGCTTTGACTTAACAAAGGATAGTAATTTATTTACTTCGACCTGCTGGTTTCGTATTTGATAAAAGCATACAAAATCGTGCTTGTATGGGGAAAACAATAAACACCACTCCACCACTGAATCCTTAAGACTTCAGATTTCTCTAAGAAAGACTTGAAACTCAGTATTACAAATTATCTCATCATTTTAAAGTCCTACATATAATTTTCAAAATTTGCCTTTCAGATCTGTCAGAGCTAAAGTGCTCAACCCTATGGAACATAACAGACCCCCCAAAAACTGTTCAGATGTTATGTTTGTTGCAAAACAGTATAGCAGAAATGTAACACCTTCACTAGGAATGGATAAATACTAGAAAAGGAAATCAAAGCACAGAACTCACACAGTATTAGAGTAAATGATGCATAAACTTATTACGACAGATTTTACTTAGTGGTTCATTTTTCATATAACATGGAATCCCCACTGAATTTCTTTTATTTGTCTTTCATCATCTGTACAGTCAAAAAGCTTTCTTTAGTCCAAAGAATCTTTATATAACTAATTTTATCAAAGGAAAAAAATAAACAGAATTGGAAGGAAAATTCATGCCTCTAGCAAATAAAATCCTTAGAAACATGACTATGTCTACCTTCTGTCACTTTCTGTAAATATCTATACTTTTATAAACGAAAGACAGTGACTTATTTTAATCCTTTCAAACTGCCTGATAAAATATTATCAAAGTAAAACATATGGGATGGAATGTGCTACTGTCACAATTCAGAATGAGAGTTAGCTAGAGGGTTGGCTGCACAAAGAGAGCTAATGAAGCATTAGCTTAACACTGAGTAGTTAAACCTGTCAGATGCTTTAAGTTCAGAAGAATTTTTACTTAATATCTTTCTAAGGCCAAAAAGTTATTTACTTTTTCAATTTGTTTCAGGTCAATCTTTTGTGTTAAAAAGAAAGTCCATAATTTAGAATCTGCTTTGCCAGAGTACAAATCCTCTGAACCCAGAAAATTACAAAAGACTTGATTGTAATTTGTGCACGGTATGCCCATTCTCTTACCAATAAAGCTTTCAGATGCTATTTTAATCTGTCAGGGACCCTCACTGACAGCTAACAGGCTTTAAAAAATTATTCACTTGAAAAACACTCAGGTCGCTTGCAATTACTTACGCTTTTTCTGTTCCATAGCTCTTATAGTCAATAGCAGCTGAAACTCCAACCACTGTGGCAGGAAACAAGTAACCAGCAACATAGTAATATTTTTTCCTTGAATATTCACTTTCAAAAACTTCAACTAACATTAGATAGAGCTGCACACCTTCTAGGCACATCCAAGCAAAAGCCGCCAAAAAGAAAAAGTGTAGAAGTCCTGCAAATATTGGGCATGCAATCTACAGAGGAAAAGAACAAAAAACACAAAAGAACACTCATGAATAAAAATAGCCCACTCCAAAACTATAAAATACTCACTAAGAGAAATCGCTATTATTTCAAAAATACATTATTCAGAGTAACCTAATGCTTCCTCAAAATATTTTTTTCATAAGTGGAAACAAGCTAAAAACCCTGCCAAATCTGGAGATTATCATGTTCACAGAGTATAACGCCAAGTGTACTAGGTTTCAAGGTAGAATATTACTATAACATTTTTTAGTGAGATTAAATATCAAATAAGAAAACTTCATAATTTGTGAATTATCTGTTATGAAATCTGAATATTCCACTTGTAGATTATTTGCTTCACAAGTCTTTAGAAGTGTTGTTTGCAGATCTATTGTTTCTATTTTTTTCTATAATGGAATTTTAAAATTTTGCTCTAATGACAAAATCCTAGCTCTAATTACCTAGGATTATTTTCCTGTCATATCTGGAGCATTCTTAAATTATCTAAGTGCAGATGAATATAGGGTGAAGCATTAACTAATTAAGTTCTCTTTCTGATATTAAGAACTCATGATGATGAATAAATTGCCGTGAATACAAAGAAAGGATCATTGGTCAGAATGACTATGTAAGCAAAATAAGAATTTTTAAAATAGGATCTTTGTATTTCTGTATCCCTAGCATTCTTCTATTAAAATTATATGTCTTAACAAAAACACAGAAAAATTCGACTGTCTCTTAATATACAAAATGAATTAATTCATAATATTACTTAATAATTGGGCAGCCTTTTAATTTACTACAAATTGTCTTTTAATATTGCCCTATCAATTGTATCAAGTTACAAGGTCAAACATTAATACCAGTATCATATGTCACCTCACACCTAATAAAATAATTTTCAGAGATCTAAGGTCAATTAACTCAACTGGTGCTTACCGCATATTTTGTCTTATCAATGCCTATTAGGAAAATAAATTCAGCAATGAAGAGGTTGATACAAAGGTTCTTGTGAATAGTATTTCGGTCGCTCTGTAGGCCACGGAAAAAGCAAAAGGTGAAGATGCAGATAGCCAGGCAAACAAGGGAAATGACAATTCCCACCCAGGTGATGACTGTAAGAAGTAATTCATGAACTCCATCTTTATACTGAAAATAAAAAGATATGAGGAACATTAGTATTCCTACATTACATCAACTAGAAGAAAGACCACTTTCACATGTACAGTTCATCTTTTACTACTGAACTCTTTGAAGAATACCATTCATATGTGTTCAAAAAAGGCTCAATACCAAAAATAAATTTTAATCGTATAATAGCATTCAATGTTACTGCCTTTTATAACTAAAAAAGTGATCTATGAGAGAGGAAGATTTTACCTAGAAAACAATAAAAGAGCCTAATGATTTCAAAGTATGGCTGAATTAACTACATAAACATGGAGACTATTTACATGACAGAATAAAGAATACTTATTCATGCTAAAAAACAATTGACATTTTAATGATTTTTCCAAACTAGCACATAAGCCAAGTTTTAAATTTTTATTTTCTCCTTAGGGTTTTGTATGCTTACATATTGAGAGTTGACACACACAACAGATCTGAGACCGAAATGCTACACTTCTTAAAATATTTCTGTCTTCTGGCTATCATTCTCTTAATCACAAGAAAGAACATTGAGACATATTCCAGAAGCCATTTTGACTTTTCAAAAGACGCAGCTTTGCACAATGTGCAAAGTGGTTAGGAAACTTAAAGCAAAGTTGTAAAATTAGATTCAAACATTCAAGATGGGAAGGGCATGTTAAACTCCAGAGCCTTTTGTCTCTTTTGTATGACCTACTGCTGCTCATTATTTAAATCTTCTGTTGCCTCTACCAAGCACCTGCCCCAAGGAGGAAAACTTACAAGTCTACGAAGTTACAGCATATGATTTTGAGAAGTAACAATAACAGTGCCAAGACTTCTTAAAATTTATGGACAGTGTAGAAACAATTAGAAATCAACATTACTTTGTTTGCTTTTTAGTTACGATAAGCACCCAAAGAACGGGACTGTTATACAAGCTGTTTTGAATCTCTGAGGTTTCTCTCTGCTACTAATTAGAAGTGCAAATACTTACTGCAATTTCCCTGTGGGCCATGAGAATTGCAAAATTGGTTAGGTGGCTGCATGAACACGTTGTTCGAGTTTTATTAGTGTCAACCAGCTTGCAGCCCTGGGTAGACCAATATCCCATCATAGTTCTCTCTGAGTAGTTCCAGAAGGAGCAGTTTGCATTGAAATAATTGTCAGGCTGGGAAATAAAATGACAAGATAAAATTAGGATTTTATACTCTAAGATGGCAACAGCAATTGTTTAATATGTGTAAAAGGTAATTTAGATTAAACTTTACATGTTTCAGACTATAAAGTTTTTCATCAGCAAAATTGTGGACTACGTTATACGAGGCAGATACCTAGCTTAAAAGGGGCTTTATAGTCCGAAAGTGTACTCTAAATTACCAAGACCCATTTTACACAATTACAATTTCCATTTTATGATTTTACATATTGATGGTACATTAGAATCATTTTTTTTCCTTTCTGATAAAATTAGAGCCATAAATTTGTTCTGAGAAAATTCTGTAAGGACCAAATGTTTTAAAAATCCATGTTCTATTTTGGGCCCATTTTTGGTTAGTTCTAAGAGATACACTAGCAACAATGTAAATCATATTGTTAGTACCTAAAAGCTCTTAAGAGTCAATCAATTGAAGCAGATATGAGTACTGTAACCACACAAATTTATTTTTCTTTGCCTATTTGGAGATCCACTTTTTTATCTGTGGGCATTTATTCACTCTATTTACTATAACAGCCAAACATTCTGTAGACAATCTTCCAATACAGTGTAGTTACTTAAGTATCAACTTGCATTCTAAGGCACAGCAGAGGAATCACATCTCCTCAACTTTCTTTTTAAAAAAAAGTACTTGGTAACAGTTGTGTCAAACATGATCAGTAAAACTAATGAAAAAAATTTTGCCACACAGAAAGGCAGAGTCCTAAGAGTTAATACTCAGCTATCCTGCTGCTAAGTAAGGTAAGGGTTAATTTTCATTCGAAAACAAATTAGAGTCATTTACATTTTCCTGTTGATTACTGAATTAGCTTTCATTAAGAATACACTTAAGTTCTAATAATCACTGAACCAAGCTCATTTAATTTTATGTTCACAGACTTAAATAAACTTGTGTCTCTGACCTAGTCCAACATTTAAAATTCAAATGGAAAGGTCTTGTCTTTCCTCCCTCCCATCTCCCCAGTTCTCTCCCCATCCCCAGCACATCAGTTTTGCTTTCCTTTCTTTCTGCTTTTATAACCTTCCATTACTTCATTAGCATACATTAACTTACATCAATGTGTGGCAGGGTAAAAAGCACAGGATCAGTCAGGTATACTCGGCTGGACTCTTTATTGATGGAAACTGAAATGACGTGAGAATTCACTGCAATGGTGCTATTACGACCAAGAAAGTCAGCACCCAGTTTAATGGTTGCATTTTCTGTACTAAGGAACTGTCCCAGACTCCGGTAAATGATGAACACCAACTTTGCAAGCCCTAGGAAGGTTAAAAATAGTCACATGATGTACAAAAAACATGCATGATAATAAATTAAGATAAAATAGGAATGAAATGATAAAGTCCAAGTCGTTTTTTGGTTATATAAGGAGTCAAATGCATTTTAGAATTAATAGGTTTTTGAACAACAACAGAAACTGTCAATTTTTAAAAGACTTCCATCTTACCATTCCTGCTGTTCTGTTTGACGGTATTTGCAGAGAGCTGGATTGAGCTGCCTGCTCCTTTGATGCCCAGAGGAAATTTAAAGTCTTGGATCTGTCCTTCTGTACTGAGTACGGCAACTTCCAGGACTGGATGAGGGAAAAGATAAAGGAAGGGTGTGGGGATGATTCTTTAGATTTAACTAAGGAGGCAAATGATAACTGTATAGAAACTACTGTTTTCTTTTTGTCTACTTACAAAATTTTACTGTTAGGTTTCAACAAAAATCATGAACAAAAAACCAAATTACTCAAGTCTTAAATATTCACTTCTCAAAAAAAAATTTGTATTGTCATTCTAACACCTTCTTCATATTTTTATCTCTTTTGTCATGAACTAATACCAATCTGTTAGCCTATAAGTATGAACAGTGTATGAATTAATAGTATGTAACTTTCAAGGTTTTGTATTTAAATCATGAAGCTAAGCAAAAATATTTCAAACTGATATTTTTTGGCTCTTTATATTAAGTAACTTTTCAATGACCATTATTTGGCAGTGGTAAAACTAATATGAAGTACAAATTTGAATGCTTCTATGGCATCTACACATCTATTTCTATCTATGATCCACTTTAATATGAAAAATTACACAGGTCAAGTTTGCAGTAATACTTTTTTCTAATTTTTAAAAATAGCCCAGAAGAATATATTTATTATGAAAATGCCATTATGTTAAAATTTCCCATTAATTCTCACTATTCAATCTTTACATATTCAAATTGGGCAAAATAGAACCTGCAGGCCAAGCCTGGCATGCCATTTGTTTTTGTAAATAAAGTTTTATTGGAACACAATCATGTTTATTCATTTGTATATTGCCTGTGGCTTCTTTAGTGCTACAATACCAGTTAAATATCTGCAAGAGAGACCACCATGGCTTGCAAAGCATAAAATATATACTATCTGGACCTTTACAGCAAGAGTGTGACAACAACTGCAGTCTAAACCAAATTTCAAATATTCAAACCAAGTATCGAAATTGAAAAACACTTAAGGAAAACAAGTCAATACAAAACACTAGAACATCTACCTGATCAACATGCCAATGCTAACTTCATTTCAAAAATATAATTAATAGTAACCACTAACAATATAAATGCTTACTGTCTACTGGGAATCCCAATACAGACTGTCATTATTTTACATCAACATTTATTTAGATTTTAAAAGGAATGGAAAAGTATATTGCTTTTATAGGAGTTAACTATCTTATATCAATAATTATAAGATTAATATTTTATTGATGAAATCTAAGGAATTATATGGAAAATTCATTGATTTCTGATATTTAAATTTTAAAACTATGTATTCTACAAAGATGTTCAAAAAATATAGTCCATATTTTTTTTCTGAATGTCACCCTCTTTAATGTCTCTACTGTCTGTATCGCCTATCAGCTATTCACCTACAATCCCCTTTTTCTTTTTACAAAAATCATTTCATACCATTGTACAGTAATTCTTGGATACTAATTTTTTTTATCTTCCGCAACTTTGTTTTGTAAAATACATCTATATTTAGGTTGTAAATATAATAACATTCATAAATTTTTATAAGCAATTAAACCATATGTCAAACCCTGAAATACAAATTTATAACGAGCATCATGTAACTGCTAAAATTCTATCAGCTGCAGAAACTGGCTGATACACTTATTTTACTGATACATGTTTGGAAAGATTAAGCAGGTGGGTAGATGGATAAACTGTTCTCATATCAGTCTCTAGGTTGGGGCAGGGAGGAAAGGGGGAAGAAGTTTGATGAAAGTAACTGATTCTTCCTCACACTGAAAGAGGCTATCATATCTTAAAACAAGACGTGATGAAAGAAGAAAATCCTCTGAGTTTTCATGAATCATCCCAAATATAGATATACATGTACAAAGTGTTAATTTCATTAAACAAATATTTACTTATCAAACTTTAATTTCATTAAACAGAAATTTACTTATTAGAATTTAAAAAATAATGTTCATAGTAAAGAAAAAGCTTTAAATTGATAATAGTAAGATCATTACTACAGCTCTCAGTAGGTATTTCAAGCTATTTACTTCCATAAGAAAATGCAATAATGGGGGCCGGGCGTGGTGGCTCAAGTCTGTAATCCCAGCACTTTGGGAGGTCGAGACGGGCGGATCACGAGGTCAGGAGATCAAGACCATCATGGCTAACACGGTGAAACCCCGTTTCTACTAAAAAACACAAAAAACTAGCCGGGCGAGGTGGCGGGTGCCTGTAGTCCCAGCTACTCAGGAGGCTGAGGCAGGAGAATGGCCTAAACCCGGGAGGCGGAGCTTGCAGTGAGCTGAGATCTGGCCACTGCACTCCAGCCTGGGCGACAGAGCGAGATTCCGTCTCAAAAAAAAAAACAAAAAACAAAAAACAAAAATGCAATACTGAACTTTATACCAACAAATAGATAAATTAATATCAATAAATTTTTAAAAGACAATAGAAATTTTTGTAGAAAAATGAAACAGACTAAAAGAAATTAAAAACCATAATAGTTTATTACCATTAAAAAACTCAACTGATAAATACATACTGAATTTTATTTTATTTTATTTTATTTTTTTAGATGGAGTCTTGCTCTGTCTCCCAGGCTGGAGTGCAGTGGCCGGATCTCAGCTCACTGCAAGCTCCGCCTCCCAGGTCCACGCCATTCTCCTGCCTCAGCCTCCTGAGTAGCTGGGACTACAGGCGCCGGCCACCTCGCCCGGCCAGTTTTTTTTTGTATTTTTTAGTAGAGACGGGGTTTCACCGTGTTAGCCAGGATGGTCTTGATCTCCTGACCTCGTGATCCACCCGTCTTGGCCTCCCAAAGTGCTGGGATTACAGGCTTGAGCCACCGCGCCTGGCCTGAATTTTAAATAAGATTTCTATTTTCTGTTTCAGAAAATAGAAAAAGATGTATCCCTAACTCATTTCACAAAAAATTATAGGATACTTTCAGTCATTAAAATGATGCAAAAAATCTTTAATAAAATATACACACACTTTATAATATCCTGAACAAATTAAATTACTAAATTAAGTTAAAAAACATATAGAAATACATTAGAAAATGGATTCATATAATTCATCAAATAGAGAAAAATTTCAAAAGTATTCACACAAATAAATTTCAACATCCACTTAATGTAAAAAAAACTTTACAAAAAAAAAAAAAAAGACAAATTAAAGAAAAACTCCTTGTCCAGACAGAAGTTTTCTTATCAGATAAAGGCTACACCTTTATGTATTCAAAAATGTGTATAAGAAACAATATTGAAAAACTCTAGAAGCATTGCTTTTAGAGTCAAAATGATCTCTATCACAGGTTTTATTGAGCATTGTACTAGAGGACCTAGCTTAATGCAGTAATTCAAGAAAAGCAAATAAAAGGTATAAAGGAAAAAACAAGTAATATTTACAGTAAACACAATTAACTACCTAGTAATCATGAGGGACTCTTAACTATCAGAAGTACTAAGAATTTAGCAAGGCTGCTATGAGCAAAATCAATTGTGTTTCCATACACCAAACAACAATTAGAATATGTAATTTAAAAAGTGATCTTATTTATAATAAAAACAAGGAGTATAAGTTATCTAGGAACAAATCTGATTTTTAAAAAGCGCAAGACACTAAAAATAAGAAAAATATATAACTTTATAAGAAGACCTAAGAAAAAATGAGGAATTATATAATGGTCTTATTTGGAAGAATGCAGCAGTTCAATCTGGCAACTCTTTCAAAATCAATCTACAAACTCAGTCCAATTTTAATCAAAATTCCAACAAGATTTTTATGTCTGGAACTTGATCCACTGATTTAAAAATTCATATAGAAGAGACATGCCAAAAAGCAGCCAAAGCAGTTCCTCAAGGAGCAAGGTTGAAAGACTCAACAGATATTAATATTACTGAAAAAACCAAAGTAGCAAATAATAGACACTGCTAACATGTAAGACATCATTAAAAATCATTAGGGAGAGAAATGAATTACGCACTAAACGTATACAAGGAACTGGTTATTCATATGGGGAAAAATCAAATTAGCTGCCTGTCTCATATAATATCATAATTAAAAATAAATTTCAGGTAGATTAGAGACATAACTGTAAAAAGCAGAGGTTTATCATTTATAAGGAAGTATAAGATCCTTATAAACTTAATGTAGAGAATATTTTCCTAAGTAGAAAGCCAAAAGGAAAATATTTCTTAAACAAGATACCAAGAGTACCAACACTAAAAGAACAGACTGATAAATCTGACTCATTATGTAAAACAACAGATTCCTTTAAAAAGATAAAAAGAGAAAGCCCAGACAAAATAAATATCTGTAAACTATATAATCTTTACAGGATTAGTGTCCAGCATACATAGAAATACAAAGAAAAAATCAAAAAGGAGAAAGTTGTAAATAAATTCATAGGAGAGAAAACTAAAATAGGTAATAAATCTGTTAAAAAATCAACATGAAGCAATCAAGGAAACTGTAAATTAGAACAATAACATAACCAATTCAAACTCATTAGATTAACAAAAGTTAGGTCAATAATAAAGTGTTTGCAAAACTAGTAATGGTATTACCAGTGAAAAAGTAAATTGGTAAAAGAAGGTAGAGAGCAATTTGGCAGCATTTAGTAAAGCTGAAGGTGGGTGTGCTCTACCGCTCAAAAATTCTATTTCTGGGGGGGGGGTGTGCGTGTGTGTACGCGCGCACATGTATGTGCGCATGTACGTCTAGAAAGGCACACATTGGAGCAAGAAGGCATACAGAAACTTTCATTACAGTTTTCCTTCTGTCAGGAAAAAAGCAGAAGCCACTAAAATGTCTATCAGCAGTTAATTCTGGTACATTCTTAGAAACAGATCAAATGAACTACAGATACACATGTCACCATATATAAATATAAAAAATAGAATGCTAACGGAAAATTATACAATTATGGTCACGTGCAGTGGCTCACGCCTGTAATCCCAGTACTTTGGGAGACTGAGGCGGGCGGATCACCTGAGGTCAGGAGTTTGAGACTGGCCTGGCCAAAATGGTGAAACCCCATCTCTACTAAAAATACAAAAAAAATTAGCCGGGCATAGTGAT